CAACATTGATTAATTTTACATTCAGTCAATATTCAGTGAATAAACGAGGCGAGCAAGCTGATTGGAATATCACTGACTCTCGATGCTGTTTGGCTAACTTGACCCAATAATCTTCCTGATGACGTTTCTGCTGAGCGTGGTTCCGGAGCAGTGAGGCAAATGAGGTGTTTGCAGGGTTCGAAAGATAAGTTTGACCTTCTCGGATTTCTCGAGCACGGAGTTCTTCTTCTTTGGCTTTGGCCGCACATTCTTCATCTTTCAGAGCAGTTTCTAAACTGACGATTCGTTTGTAGGCGTGTTTCAAGTTGACGATCAAATCATTCTTGCTGTCCTCTTCATCATTGTCATCCTTGATCGGGTAAGTGTGAGAGTTGATGGGATCTTGATCGCCATTGCTGAATGTGAGGATCGAATTCTTGGGGGCAGAGAGTTCGCTTGGTCGGTTGGAACTCGCAAACTTGACAGGGTCATGTTTCCGAGGATCGAATAGCTGACGAGGCTCGGCCGTACTACCACGACCAGATGTTTTTTTCTGCTTCCATCCACGATCTTGTGTGGAGGTGGCTCTGAGATGAGGTGGTGGGTTCTTTGATCCTCCATGAGAGGCTTGAGATGGATTGGACTGAGAGCTCTCATGATCTTCTAGGGTCCCAGGAGGGGGTTTGAGTGTATGATTACTCTGTGGTTGATTTTTATTGGCCTTGGTGGATCGGCTCTCGATGCGATTCTTGTCGGAAGATCTCTTGGAAGTGGAGAATGAAGAATCTAGCTTGGGATCGAAGAGCTTGGAATTGGATTCATTGGGAGTTGGAAGTCCTCTGGGTGAGTTGCGATTGGAAGAGGGATTTTTCTTGGATGGGAAGGGAGATCCACCAGAGCGTGCTTGGGAAGACTGCTGTTGAGAATCAAAGTAGTCCCTTCTGTCAGAAGATGGGGGATCTTGAGTCCTGCGTGAGGATGGGTGAGGCCGTGATCTGGTATCCGATGTTAGATCGGCCGGCCTCTGAGGGGAAGAATTGAGATCATTCGGTTGATTGCGTCCAGCGGTACGTTCGGCTCTGAATTAGCGCAATGGAAGCAAGTTTTGTGAGTCAATTAGATACATGAGGCAGAGATCGAGGCTATTTACCTGGCCGTTCTTCTCTGGTAGGCGGTTACTGCATCTAGTAGTGTCCTCGCTCCATCCTTGGGTGGTTTAGTTTTGGGTTGAGTTGGTTTGCTCTGATGCTGATTGGTTGGCTGTTGCTGTTGCTGTTGAGGTTGAGGTTCAAGTGTAGTGGTCGGTCTTGATGAGGCCGAGGGTTGAGCCATCATTCATGTTCAGTGTGTTTGAGTGTACAGGTTGGCAAGGAACGAAGGAGATGCCTTGGATAATTGGTGTCTTGCTGCTGTTTAAAGTGTTGGTTTGGTTTTTTTGGTTTTTGGTTCTTGGCTGGTTGAGTAGTAGATGTTTCTTGCTGATCAAGCGGTCATGAAGGAATTGTCGAGGTGGCACGATGTATGCAGAGGACTGGGTGCGGAGACTCCAAGTATGAATCGGGCCCAGTCGCAGCACGGACGTACGGGGGAGCGGGGGCGGGGGGCGGCTGCGGAGTACTGTGCCCTCGAATGACAAGCGATCGACTTTCTATGTCGGCGGGCTCGGTCTTCTTCAGATTGACCAACCGAGTTAGCGAAGGGCCGAACGAACGAAACGAGGGGAAATTGGAGGCACGATGGTGAAGATACCCAAGCTGAAGACGAAATCTAAACGAATGGTCAGCAGCTGGTCGATTGAGTGATGTCCTGTCCGAGCTCGTTCTCACCCGATTCTTCTCTTAACGATCATCCCATCCCATCCCATCCATGCATGATTTCCAACCACCAAAAAAACAGATTCCTGCTGGAAATTGCGCCCTAGAGTTGTCCGGCTTGCTCCAATGTTGGGCTACCACGAGCGACGTCCATTCGATGGGCCAATGTGCGGAGGCTGCTAAGAGCTTGTCCACCTGCATGAAGTCCGCTAAAACAGTCAATTCTAAAAAGACTGATTCAATCAACTTTCGTAAGTAGAGACAAACAAACAAAACTTGGGCTCTTCAAGAAAGATCAAAAAAGAAAAGGAAACTCCATCTCATTAGTCTATTAACTGATCCCCATCCTTTTTTCCCGAAACCAAAAAAAAAATGATTGGTTTAGATTTGGCACGGCTCGGAAAAAACTTTCGATAACCCACATATACACCAACCGAAGCTGGTTCTCTCTCATCGATCGTCTTCGTTTGGGCGTCCGGGGGGCTCAAGAATGGCCCAAGCAAAGAAACTTGTGAATTGTTCCTGATCCTCGTTTACATCGAGAGAATCCCAGTCGAACAAATCAAACCTTCCAGCTGCCTCAATCTTTTTTTTTTGAAGATTGATGATCCACGTGTATGATCTCCTGTGGGATACATAATCCAGGCTGAATCTTGTGTTAAACTTGTACGATTTCACGCGCTTCAATTTGAATATTCTACCAAAAAATATCGGAAGCGTTCGCATGATTCAAGATTTATGAAGTGAGGACAGATTGATTTCTTTTGCATCTGAAAACAACTGAAGACGTGATATTCTGATGTCCAAAACGAAAGTGGACCGCAAGATTTTGTTTTTGGAGCTGGGAGGAAGGTACCCCTGTGGTATTATACACTCAGTGAAGGAGTCCCTCTGGCCCCAAAGACTTCCCCATCAAGCTGCCGCTTCTGAAATCTTGATGGTGTCTGCTTGCAGGTTGGAACATTTGATTTCATTTTATTTCAATTGTGTGTAAATAAGTTTTTTTTTTTTTTAGTTTTTTTTTTTTTTGCTAATGCAATAGCTGACATGTATTCAAGTAGATAAAAGAAGAACAAGAACACAAAACGACGACACTCAAACATAAAGAAGAAGAAGAAGAAACAGATTGGAAGGGGAGAGAGACCAACGCAGTAGTCAGTAGTCAACTGCTTCTTCGACAGGCCAAGCCAGACCGAAGGCCGACTGAGGATCATCGGGACGTCAGAAGAAGAGCGAGTGTGTCCCGAATTCGATAGTGAGAATGACGGCTAGGAGGACGAGGAGAGAGAGTTGAACAAGTCCATGGAGAAGATATCGTTAGAGGGGTCATGACTAGAGGGCGGGCCGTTAGCGGAGAATCTGGGGGAGTGATCGGAGGGCGAGTCGGCGATCGAGATGGCGGAGGACGAAGGGTTGAGGGTGGAGCTGGAGGAGGGCGAGCCGGCGGAGGGTCTTCGGTTGGCCAGGAAGGGGAACTTGGATCGACGGCTCTGGCTGGACTCTTGGTCATGCCCCTGGGAGACCCCGCGCTGTTGCGGCTGATGTTGAGAAGGGTGTTGGTTGAGAGTGTTGGCACTGGCCAGACTGTTGATCAAGAACCTCTTCTTGGAGGTTCTGTTGTTGCCAGTAGTTGTCGGCATGTTTTGCTGGTTGGTCTGATTAGTGAAAGCGCCAGCTGTTATGGCGTTTGGTCCACCTGGCGCGGTTGAGGAGGATGGCTGTGAACTGTCTAGTCCATTGGGCGGGATGGAGCTGGATAACAGACTGGCGATGGTAGGGGGAGACGAGCCATTGAGTGGGTTTTGGACAGCCGAGGATGGATCGTTGATGGGAGCGGGTTGCGGCGGATTTTGGACAGTGGAGGCAGTCGCGAAGCTGTTGAGGAAATCATGGATGGCTTGTTCAGCTGGAGGGCGACTGTTGCTGGTCTGGCCGTTGTTGGAGGTAGCTGCAGTAGTACTCGGAGCACTGGTAGTGTTGGTGCTGCTGGTACTCGTGGAGGTGTCGGGCCCGGAAAGTGGCTCAGAAGGCCCGCCGGGTTGGAGGGTGTTGAAGATCGGTGCAGGGGTGTGATGCTGAACATATATCGTGCTGAGCGGTGCTATGCGTCGGTAGAGGGACAGACTGATCTTGACGGGGCATTGGTTGATGGATATGGCCAGATAGATCGACCTTGGATCCAGATGGAACTCGACGGCAGCTTCATGGATCAAGTCCTACATAACCCCAAAAAACATAAACGAAGTCTTCAATTCAAGCAATCCAAATTTCATGTGTTTTACACAGTCTGCTTGCACTATGTCAAATATTCCATACGTAGTTCGATTGGCGCGAATGAAGAAGAGCGCAAGACAAAAAAAACAAAAGAATACGTACGTCTATGTTGGGAGGCTTGAGGGTGGCCAAGGATTGAAGAGCATAGCGAAGGATGATGGGGACATTGCTGGAGTCATGGGTAGTGTTAGTGTTAGCGTTAGTAGTAGTGGCTGGAGTATGAGCAGACGAATTGGGCTGGTCAGCAGCTCCGGGGGGGCTTAAGAAGCTCGAAGGGTTCGGGTCGAGGGTCCAGTCCAACATGGCCGAGATGGTGGCAACGCAATTAATAAGGATCGAGAGTTCTTCAAAGCTGGATGAATAGCACAAGCTCATCTGAAGAAGCGGTGGAACAACAACGCTCAAGTTTTAGTAAATAAGTCAAATCAAGCCCGTTACAAACAGATTTATGGATTTATTTATGTAATCAAGTCAGTTGACAAGTATCCTGCAAGAATTGGAAAATGGTGTCGATATTTATTCTTCTTGATAAAGCTCTGAAATATCCTATCTATACTACGCTCAAGGTTCCTTTCTAAATATATGTATGCAAACCACAGATCGACGGATACAGCTGGTTGGATGAGGGGTGGGGGGGAAAGAAAAGAGAGAGCGCCCCCCAAAAAGGGCAAGTATATATATATATAAGAAATGAAGGGGAGAAGCGGGCTGAGTGATCCCAGTGTTCGAAGCAGAACTGATGAGTCTGGAGTGGGCGAGTTGCAGTGAAGTTCGCCATCGATTGATTTAGAAGGAATCCAAACCAGTTTAACGGAAGGAAGCCTGCTTAGGCTGATTTGCATGTAAGTTACGCTCTCGGACGAGCACATAGGCTATATATATAAGCGCCGAAAGGTGTTGGTTGAACAGCCGTTAAGCTTCGTGTGGTTGTTGTTTGACTGGCTCGTTTAAGTTTTTGAATCAAAGCTTGCTTGGTTGGTTGCTCAACAAAGCTGGTGAAAGCAAGTTCAGTTCGGTGGTAAATTCGCCGAGTTTTGTCGAGCCTGGTTGTGGGCAAGTCCTTTTTGAAGTTGTAGTGTGCTTTGGGATTCAGGGATGAGGGAGGAGTAGCACTGGAAGGTCATTATACTCGCGGGTCGCGGCCTAGGAATATCGAAGCTTGCAGGGGTTCTAGCTCATCGGTAGAGCGCTCGCTTAGCATCCTGCTGAGTCAACATGCGAGAGGTACAGGATTCGACTCCCTGGTACTCCAAGAGTTCATTTTTTCATAATGCTCACTTGATGAGCTTTTCTCCTAACTAGTGGAACTACTGCGCTTGTGTTGAACAAGTGAGAGCTGAGTATGCTGTGATTAGCTTTACACTCTTGAAGTGGACCAATTTTCAAAGGGTGCTTTTTTTATTGGTGGGAAGTTTGCTGAGCTCGGCTTTGTTGGAAGCTCTAGTCTAATCATACGAAATTCACAATTGGCATATATTTACATAATCAGGGAGGAGCCTGTTGACGACGAGTCCAACAAAAATCTTGAGATTGCATACCAATTCTCGAATTCCATGAATGGACAAAGTCACTTCTCACATTAAAACAACAACTTTTCTCTTGCTCTCCTTTCTTTTTGGTTGCGTTCTATAAATTCCATAGAAAAAAGATCCCCCCCCCCCCCGCTCTCTCTCTGATCATCAACCTATATGTATATACAACAATCAAAGCTTTTTGTGGATAAGAAAAAATCGTGGAAGGATGGATTGAATCAAGGAGGAAAAACCAAAAGAGAACAGAAAAGGAACACATAACCAAAATCAACAAAACCAATTATGATACTAATCGTCTCCTTCGTTCTTTCTTTATTCTATCTGTGTTTTTTGCATTTATTTATTAACATAGTTTGATTATTTTTAGTTTGTTTTTATGTAAGAAAGCAAAAAGCAAAAAAAGAGAAAAAAAGAAAAAGAAAAGGGTAAGAAAGTTTCCATATGTAGAGAGAAAGAGAGAAAGAGAGGGAAGGCTTAAAAAAGAATAAAGTCAAGTATGTACAAGGACAGAGGAAGAGAAAGAGATGAAACAAAAAAAGAGAGAGAGAGAGTTATTGATGGAACGAAGGATCAGTAGGAGGATTGGTAGGAGCCAGGTGATCAGAGGAAGAAGAAGAAGAAGAGGGGACAAAGAGTTGGTTCCAGACGTTCCAGATAGACCCGTCACAGCCGGGAAACGAGTCGAGCTCATCAGGATTGACTTGCGCGTCTGAAGGGGCGGCGATGAGGGGATTCATGGGAGCTTGAGTGTGCGGATTGCTACTAAGAGTGGAGGACGAAGGCTGGAGCTCTCTGAGTGACGGCTCGATCGGATTCTTGCTGTGATGAGAGAG